AGCAGTTTAGCATGGAAACCACAAAGACACGTCTGGGTCAGGCTCCATCGCAATCCCACAAATAATGGCCCTGGTCTAAGAGCAGATCCCACGTATACATGGGGCAAGCCCAGAGAATCAGAAGCAGTGCCTTCACATATCAGGCCAGCTTCACGGTTGCTTTTTTAAAAATTGCTTTCAACCTACGTAAATCTTAATCATTGTTAGTTGTTGCATTTGCATATGTACATCCTTTGCCTTAAAGAGAATTTCAGACTTGGATATCTTAAGACAAAAGGTGCAGAAATTGCAAAAAATGAAAAAGGCAAAAATGCACATTAAGAATTCAGGTAACAACTCTGGATCATACGTGTAGATGCCATGACTGGTTTGGATTGCCACACTGAAAGAGTCCCGAGGCTGCTACAAATGGAGATGCTGAACTTCAGACAGCGTAGAAGATTTCAGGAAGGAAGGGCACACAAGAATATTCTAGGCCTGGAAGGTCAGCCTTTGTAAGTCTCAATCACTGCCACGGAGTCGACGCTGCCTCACTGAGGCCCTGCAGGACAGGGTATCACTGCCCCTGTGCACTTCCAAGACTGCGGTTCTTTAGGGAGTAAAGAGCTCAGCCATTCTCTCTAGGAGAGGCTAGTACTGTCGTTTCAAACTGGGGACCCTAAGGTTAGCAGCCCAAGGCACAACCCACTACACCTGCAGGGTTTGTAGGTGGACATTTCAAAGCCATCAGAAGTCTGATGTGATGAAGGCTCTGCTCTGCCCTGCTAGGTTATAAGACAGGGACAGGAAGACACGGACTCCTCATTTGGTCGCCACCTGTCTCCAGCATGGAGGACAATGTCTCCAGGATGGCAGGTGCTCAATACATGATGTGTGAATGAAGAGGACACTTCATAGGTGTTCTTCATTGGCATGCACTTCTGGATCTGCTCATCCTTCAGCCGGTACTACAAGTGTGAGAAATGGCTGTTCAGAGTGATAAAATAATAACCACTTGCCATTCTAACTGCGGTTTATTTTTGGAAACTATGAATTTGATCTACTGCTGCTTCAACCGAGAGGGCCTTGCTCCATGAAGATTGCTGTTCTAGTAATTAAAGTTTACCTGCCCCCCCAAAAAAAACCATTCAGCATATTCCTATTCATTTCAACTCTTCCATAGACCTAAGGTGAAAGTCTTCTACCCCAAGAAGTTCATTTATAATAGGAGCTATGCCTCTAGACTCTGAATACTAGTTAACTTCTACCTCTACCAAATCCCCTATCTACTTTTCTTGGATCTGAGCTATTCGTGCAGCAATTTATCCAGTTAAGACCATGCCACTTCTACTGTGAGCAATAGCTGTACACACACTGCAGAGGTGTGTTGTATAGAATTCAATCTGCTCCTTCAAAGAGATTGTAGTTACATGTGAAAAACAGGTACTAGGTCCATGTATTGATCTGTAAGCATAAGTCCTATTTGCTTATTGTTACCTAAAATCCTTCTAAATATGAAAGTAGCTATTGGCATTCTGATCTGCTCACTGCAAATTTCCTTATAGTACTTATACATGAAATGAATACAGAGTTAGTTGTATTCAAAAGCACTGGTCAACATTTAGCTATTTTAGGAGATAGCATAAGATTGAGAACTAATGACACTGATGGACTGAAGTCCAAGCTGCACTAAAAGCACCGGTGAAAAACAAGTCTTGAGGAAATTATGGGATAGCAACTGAGATGGCTCAACAAACGGATACAATGCTGGAAGGTGTTCCTGGTCTATTCAAAGAAATTTGCAAGTGGGCGACCTGGCCAACTGACTGAAGGAGATTCCTATTTGTGCCCATTCCAAAGAAGTGTGAACTCCCTGCCCCGCTCCCTACCCCCCAAAGCAGAAATTATCAAACAATATTATTAGTATCACATGCAAGTAAAATTTTGCTAAAGATAATTAAAAAATTATTGCAGCAGTACATTGGGAGTTGCCAAAAATTGAAGTCAGATCCAGAAGAGAGAGTAGAGTGAAGGATATTGTTGCTGAAGTCTGGTGGATTTGGGCTGAAAGCAGAATATACCAGAAAATGTTTACCTTATATTGATTACACAAGGGCATTTGATCATGTAGATCATAATAAATTATGGATAACATCATGAATAATGGGAATTCCAGAACACTTTACTCAAGTGGAACCTGTACCTAGACCAAGAGGTAGTTCTTTGCACAGAAGAAAGGGATACTGTAAGGTTTAAAATTTTAAAAAGGTACGCAACCGGTTTGTATCATTTCTCCACCTTAACTTAATCTGTCTGCTGAGTCAATAATGCAAGTCGCTGGACTATATGAAGAACAGTGCAGCATCAGGACTGGAGGAAGGCTGGGGCATGCAAACCATACAACCTGGCTTACTGAAAGCAAGCGCTTAACGGATAACGGTCAATGACTACAGCCTTCAGGACAGTTTATACCCCAACATCAAATCAATGAAAACCTTTACAATTGGACCAACCAGCAACATCACGGTAAATGAAGAAGCGGTGGCCGTTATGAAGGGTTTCATTTTGGACCCACAACCAACAGCCACGGAAGTAGGAGCCAAGAGGTCACATGACATATCGCATTAGGCAAATCTGCTGCAGAAGACCCCCTTAAAGTCTAAGAAAGCAAAGCTGTCACTTTGAGGCCACCGAACAGAAGCCGTGGTATTTTCAGCTGTTCACATAAATGTAAAAGCTGGCTAATGCGTCAGAAAGTTTGAAGAATGGGTGCATTTGCAGTAAGGTGCTGGCGGCCAATGCTGGATCAGCATGGACTGCCCGGGGAACAGACACATCCGTCTTGGAAGAAGCATGGGCAGAATCAAGAGCTCCTCAGAGGCAAGGAGGTGAGACTTCATCTCCCCTGCTTTGGAAATGTTATCAGAAAGGAGCAGTCCCTGGAGAAGGACATCACGCTTGGTTAAACAGAGGCTCAGCGGAAAAGAGGACCCTCATCAACAGAGAAGACAGTGCCTGCGACAATGGGTTCAAACAGGCACGACTGTGAGGGTGGCACGGGAGTGGGGAGCACCTCCGATTAAGAACTGACTACAGTGAGGGAATGGGCTTGTCCGCAGGGGCGCGCAGAGTGGGAACTGACTCGGTGGGACCTAACACAACAGCTTCTCCAATTTAAGTAGAGAGGTACATTTCTCATAAATCTTGGTATCTGTTAGAAAAACAATTCGTCACCACCATTTTCAGATAGCATCCGTGGTCAGCACAAGGGCCAACCAGCAGAGAATGTTGGATTTGCAGGCCATGTGGTTTCTGTTGCAGATGCTCCGCTCGGAGTCTGCCACTGCAGCATGGAAGCGATCACAGAGGATATGTGAAGGAATAGGTGTGGCCATTTTCAATAACAATTTATTTCTCATAACAGGCCTTAGGCAGGAGCTTGCTGACCCCTGGACAAGATAAGCAAAAGGTTCCCATCTACTTATAACAAACCGACACTTACTTTGCTCTTTTGGCCATCTCATTGCCGTCCCATCTGGGGCTGTAGGGATAATTTTTCTGGGCCTGGGAGTAAAGTTGACCGCTGTTGGTGAAATGATAGATGGACTGAAATGTGAGCGTTGGCTGGTCTCGAGGAAAAAACAGGGGTAGGTCGACTGCAAAGAAAAAAGAAAGAAAAGGCTTAGGATATATACACGTTTTAAGGCACTTTTCTGGCAAAATCTGAGTATTTGGCTATAAGACTCTTAACTTGAACCACAGATAGTGGTTGAGGCCTAGCTACCAGGTATGGAGAGAAGGGCCAAGCAATGCAAATGGCCATGGGGGTTACAGCACAAGTGTCCTTGGGCGGCTCTCCATCTGAAGTGCCTTTCACGGCACTTACTTTGTCTAATGGTCCAGAGCACAGTTAGCTTATACATATGTCTGTATGTGTAAAATCATAGAAACTTAGGACATGCACACATACGTTCTAAGTCTCTATTATACTAAACGCAGGGCCTTCCTCCGATATCAATGGATGGACAAAATGGGAATGAGGCCGTCCTTGAAGAACAGATTTGGAAGGGAACTAAAGAGGATGAGTCACACTTTCTACTTCACATTGTCTGTCCGTTTGTCACCCTGTGGTGGTTTGTGTGCTGCTCGGATGCTGAAGGCTATGCCGCTGGTATTTCAAACGGCAGCTGGGTTGGCCAAAGTCAACAGGTGTCCAAAGTCAACAGGTTGGCCAAAGTCAACAGCAGCGCTCCCTGAGGAAGAATCGACTGCCGAGAAGGAAGGGGCTGTCCACTGCACGGGAATTAGCCTCTGAAAAACCTATGGATGCATCCAAACCTTCAGAGAACGTCATGGCAAATGGGAAAAAAAATATTATCACTCTACTTCCATTCACGCAGTGAATTTCTATACTCAGCAGCTTCTCCCCTGCCTCCCACCCCAATTTGCTGGTGAATTTCCTTAATCAGTTGAGCTCCTTGGTGAAATACACAAGGGACCTATCTGAGCACCACAAATGGTGGCTGTTACGAGTCCATACTGGCGGTTCAAGTCCCAGTCCCTGCTGCTAACATGCATTGTGTGCGGTCCTTTCTTATTTGGGGATTATTTAATACAATTACAAAAATAAGACAACCTGTTAGATTCAGCTGCAGTGACCACCATTCATTAAAAATCCAGACTGCTTCAACAGTACATGCTTTAAAGTATCTACGCCTATTTGGGTGACTGCGACTGCATCCTCCTCTATGACAAAGAGCAAACATGGTCGGTGGATCCTTGTTTGTTGCCTGCTATACTCGTACATTTATCTGTGCCGGGAAACTGCAATGAGTGGCACTACAAAGGCAGTGACAGAACTGGAGATTACTTAGGGACATGGAAAGGGGGCGTGGGGAAAATGGGGAGTCAACATCACTGAGCACAAGAAGGCAGAACAGATTCCAAGTTCATCGCGGCGATGATGGCACAGCGCTTCTTGATAGGACTGAGCTTTGGAATTGCATGCTCTGTTCATTCTAGCTCAACAATATGAATTCAAAGAGGTGACTAGTCTTTCCTAGATTTACAGAGCAACTTTATATCCTTCATTTGATACTTACAACGTCTTGAAGCAAATATTATTTTTGAGCCACCTCGATTGAACAGATGAGCAACCTTAAGGGTCCAAGAGGCTAATTGGCTTCATAGCTCCATGGCCTCCTGCTCTGGAGGGTAATGGTATTGCCTGCATGCAAGTCATTCACCATGTTATAATTCCCATTTTGTAATCTAAAGTCTCCTTTATGAAGAGTGTACCAAGTTCATCTTTTTGGCTTTATGAAGCAAGTGTCTTTTGAAAAGACATTGCTGTGCACAACTTAGTAACAGAAACATTCCGGATACAGAAAACATTGTGTGTGTGTGTGTTGTAATTCTGACTAATTGTACCATTAGCATTGATTTTCCACTCATACCGACCCCCTGTGACAGAGAAGCACTGCTCTGGGCTGCGATCACCAGGCCTGTCTCCTGTGGGCTGTTGGGTTGGTTAACTATTGGACAACCAGGCCCCTTTGAAAACACACACCACACATTCTGGGGTGAGGGATGAGAGTCGGGTCCTCTAACCATTTGGTTTGACATTTTAAAGGCAGCCAAATAGCGTCCAGTGGTTGGTCCTCAGCCTGCCGAGTAGGTTTGGCCATGGAGGACAACTGACTCAGTGCTGAAGGGGGTTTGTACCCAGGAATCATCTACCAGGCAAAGAACAGTGGCAAGATTCTGAATGTCCACGCTTTTCTCGTGCTTCAGACAGGCAGTCCCAGGATGTGCCTGCCAGGTCGACGGCAGAGGTCTCAGAACGCGAAAGAGCAATACAAAAGAGGAAAAAGGTGAATTCAAATGATAACCACGTCAGCGCAGAAAATTCTTCAGGAATTACTGCATCTACAAAGCACGCACTGTGCCATCTTCAGCCACTCTGAACAAATATTGCTTCTCCTTACGCATTACATCTCCTCTGATTAATTTGGGGGAAAGAAATGCCTATTCACACAGGCTCTAATTTGACTTCATTTATGTTTACATGATACAAAAGGTTCTAAATATAAAACAAGATTCAGATGAACGTCCCAAAACAATAATAGTAGAAAAGCATTTAACATGCAATCCTCCTTAAAAAGTTTTTTTTGATAATGGAATTCAATGATAAGAATTAATAAATATCAATATAGTCACCATTTACTAACAAAAGTAATGCAGATCATCCCGCAATTTGCGTTTTTCAGGCTACCAGCACTTTTGGACTGTGGCATGTTTTATAGCTCTCGCCCTTGTCATTTTGTTTTGCAGAAAATGTGTATTATCATATTAGAACCCTGATATGTTGAAGAAATTCATTTTCTACTCAGAACCATTTTCTGTTAAATTCTAAATGCCGATTAGCAACAGACGTAATTCAAAATGTGAAAAGAAATGTATTTACCAGGGCCAGTCAGTTCTGATTATAGGGGAAAAAAATAGCAATCTAGACACTGATAAGTGTCATGACCCCCGAAAAGCATTGACTACAATATCATTTCTCCGTCGAGGACCACTTCACAAAGCAAGTGGAAGTCAACATGAAAAATCACTACTGATCCCTGTGTACTCAGCAGTTGGCTTCTTGCTCAGAGTGCTCAAGATAAAAACCAGTAACTCACATATCAATTGACATATGTGAAAACAAAATGAATTTATGTTGGATTCTAGCTGTATCAGTCAATAGTCAACAAAAGGGATGACCCCCCCACACACCTCTCTCTCTCTCTCTCTCTCTCTCACACACACACACACACAGCTTTCTCTATAGGAATGAGTTAAAAACAAAAATATTTGTCAGACATATTTGACATTCCTCTTACAAGAATGATTTGAATGGTACAATTAGTCAGAATTACAACACACACACACACACACACACACACACACACACACACACTGTTTTCTGTATCCGGAATGTTTCTGTTACTAAGTTGTGCACATAGTTACTCATGATTCTCTGACACAGTAACATAAAGCCTTCAGGTTTTGAAACAACTACCTTCTGAGGAGGCGCTGAGGTGACTGATCGGGCTCACAGCTGCAGATACAGCAAAACCGAACATTTTAACCATTTGCTTCCTTGGAAATCAACCCACCTGCTGGCTTGGGTTTCTATCCCCCAGCAGAGACAGCCCCGTTCAATGACTCACTGTCAGTAGTATTTTGACAACTGCTTCCTATTTCCCTTTTGTATCCAGGAGCTGGAGGCTGGTCAGCTTTCTCTGGCCACCAAAGATACGGCCTTCACTTGTCCAGGAGAATTTCAATGACCATTCCCGAAACATTGCTTGCTTCAAGAACTTGTTGAAACAAGCCACAGCTGGTCTGCACTACCCGGCAGTTCCTGGGAATTACCCACCGGGCTCGGGCTCTCGGGAAGAGAGGGCAGGAATGATTCAGATCTGTCCTGCTTTCCTACCAGGTGGCGGCCATTCTTGCCATCTGTGGGGCAGTGTCTGCAGTGTTGGATTCTGTTGATCACAGTCCCAAAGGCAGCAGAGTTTTGCATGCACCCCCTCCTGCTCCTCCCCGGCCAGGTTGCGCTGCAGGTGAGCAAATGCAGCTCTGCCTTCTCCTGTACACTAGCTTACCTGCCCTCAGGGCTCATCCTCTCACCGCGGAAAAAAATCCTGATTTATCCAGTGACCTCAACAGTGGAAAAGGGAACCTGAGCAGGCCAGGCCTGTCAGATGCTCACCCAGAAACTTCCAACTTCGTTCAAACAAGCTGGATTGTATGATTTCTCCTGGAACGAAGAAATCTACTTATGTTGCCATAATTAGAGGATAAGGTACACGAGGAACAGCGCGTCTAACACCAAGGCAGGTCAGAGAAAAGTGGGCTTAACCCCCAACCGCCACTGCCTTTAAGTCAATCCTGACTCACACTGGGTTTCTGAGGCTGTCAATCTTTCCAGGGGCAGATAGCCTTGGCTTTCTACTATGGAGTGGCTGGTGGGTTTGAACTGCCGACTTTGTGTTTCACAGCCCAACAATTACCTAAAAGGGCCACCAGGGTTCCTCAAAGCAGGCTTAGTAGTTCAAAAATCGTCCATAGCGAACTCGAGCTCTACAGCTAATGGCCACTGCGGTCACCACCCTCTAGGAAGGGATGTCAACCCTCCATAGGGGTGACAGTGGCAGACACTATGGGAGGGCTACCCAGCAGCTGTTCTCCATCCATCTTTCTTCTGGGCAGAGTCTGAAAGTGCTGGGCATTTACCCTCTCTTGGCCTTTTCTAAAACCACAGTATGGAAGTATGCCTCCATTCCAGCAATACAGCCGAGAGGTCTTCTGAGAAATGCTTTCCTCTCTGATTCAAGACACATTCAGGGGGAACCTTTTCTTTTCTTTTGGCTTTGCTTTTTTTCTTTTGGTTTCTTGGGGCTTGGCCCCTTGGCCCCCTTTTTTTGCCCGGAGAGGAACGTCAAAAACAAAAAAATTAGAGAGAAGGCAACCTGGGGTCTGACATCACTGAGCTGCCCACTCCATCCTCCCTGGAATGGCCTCCCTCTCAACTCCTTGTTAAGTGAGCAGATGTCAACTCCTCACTGTTTAATCTTTTTTTTCATCAAATCTTCTCATGCTTGCA